CACAACAGCAACAACGAAAACAATCAATAGCAACAACAACACAAGAGCAACAACAACAACGACACAATAACAACACAACAGCAACAACAACAGCGATTAACAGCAACACAACAGCAACAACAACAGCGATTAACAGCAACACAACAGCAACAACACAACAGTAACAACAACAACACAATAGCAACAACGAAAACAATCAATAGCAACAACAACAACGCAACAGCAACAATAGCAACAACGACAATAACAACAACAACTTTCCACACACACCGCGAATTTTAAAGTACTCCCACGAAAACACATGTGAAACAAGTCGTACTAAAATGCTTTATTTACAACTCATTACAATACAAAGCTTTGTGCGTATTAGTACAAGGCACAGTATATCAAATATACAAAACAACCGAGTGTTATAAATGGCCTTAATGTTTGCTGACGTTTCTATAGACATTAATATCACTGATATAAAGCGGTCAATATTTTAAACAACCCGGCACTCAGATGGCTCAATTTATCTCAATAAACTCGAACTATCTCATCCATGGAGGGCTCGGGGTGGGAATAAATGATCCCGGGTGCATTGATAAAAATCACGCCGAATGTAAGAAACGCTGCGATGATATAAATAATCATAAAAAGCTGATTCAAAATTTCGGCGGCCAGTTGCCATTCTTCCTGAATTTTTCCAAGTTCTTCCTCCTCTGTGATTTGCGCCGCCATCAGAGCCAGTCCTCTCAGCTTGTCTTGTGCTGGGTCATATTTCTCCACTTTCTCGTTTCGACCTTCTTCTGTGACTGTGTCTGAAAATGTCGTGATATGGTGGTCAGTGCATGTAGTGATACCTGCTCAGTCGTTCATCTCTGTGACCAGGGATTGGTAGCGAACTGATCGAGGTATGCGTCCTGATTAGAATTTTAAAATCTCCTGGTAGTCTGGTTTTCTGCGGTAATAACACTGGATCAATAAAAGATGATCCTTACTGGACCTCTAGGGACAACAGTTTAGAACTGATAGACCTATCCAGTATAAATAAAGTTAGTTTAGTTTAGGTTTCCTCTTGTAGTAACACTGGATCAATAAATGATGATCCTTACTGGACCTCTAGGGACAACAGTTTAGAACTGATAGAGCTATCCTGTATAAATAAAGTTAGTTTAGTTTAGTAGTTTCCTCCTGTAGTAACACTGGATCAATAAGAGATGATCCTTACTGGACCTCTAGGAAGAACAGTTTAGAACTGATAGATTTATCCAGTATAAATAAAGTTAGTTTAGTTTAGGTTTCCTCCTGTAGTAACACTGGATCAATAAGAGATGATCCTTACTGGACCTCTAGGAAGAACAGTTTAGAACTGATAGATCTATCCAGTATAAATAAAGTTAGTTTAGT